GCGTCCTGCGGGCAGGCGGTGGGCGCGAGGGCAGCGCAGCGCAGCCGGCCGGGCAGCGGGATCTGCCCGCACGTGCCCTGCGGGCCCAGGCAGCGGCACATGCACTGGAAGAAGAAGGTGGCGAAGGCCCAGCTGATGCACATGATGAGCATCATGAAGGTGCCGAGCTGCGTGTAGGCCAGCACCGTGGACGGCATCATCATGGCTCCGGCCACGAAGGTGGTGAGCGCGGCCATGGCGATGGCGGAGCCCATGCGGCTCAGCGAGAAGACGACTTTGCCCTCGCGGTCGGCATCGGGCGCCAGGCGGTAAGCGACGCCGTAGTGCACGGCAAAGTCCACGGACAAGCCCACAGCCACGGAAATGGTCACGGATTCTAACACGTTGAGCTCCCATCCGAGCAGAACCAGGGAACCTACCGTGACAAAAATAGTCCCCGCTATTGAAACGATGGCGTAAAGGCTGATGATGATATTCCAGGTTGTGAGCAGCATCACGCTAAACGCAACGGCAACGGAAAGACCCATGGCAATCAGAGTGCCATCAGAGAGGCTGTCCTGAAGATCGTAAAATTCCAAATTACTCACAAACCAGCCGTTGCTGAGGCCCTCGGGGGCAGAGCTGAGCTCGTTTGAGATCCAGGAGTCCACCTCTGTGTAGAACTGATGCATTTTCTCATAAGCAAGCGTGAAGAGGTAGGTGCTTTGAAACTCCAACACCACTGCCCGGATAGTGTCATTGAGGTCAAAGCGAGGCCCGGGGGTTTTGCTGTCTAAATGGTACCCTGTGCTTCTTTCCAACTCCATGATAGCTCTCTTGATGCATAATTCAAAAACTTCTTGCTTGTATGGAAAGCTCCAGTGGCTGCAGCAAGGGTACAGAGCCGGCTCGTCGCAGTCCTGATTTTCCATCCATTGCTTAAACGTCTCAATAAAGCAGCTTGTGAAGTCTTGCTCGTCAGTCTGATAAAAAAAGGTTTGATTTCTTAGCCTCTGGCAAAAACGTAAAATCCAAACCTGCGAAGCCGGGCTAGCAATATTAAAGCTGTTATCCAGCTGTAACTTTCCTTTACTCTTAGGGTTTAAAGGGTCCCCGTTATCTTCAGGGATGACGCCCCAGATTACGGTAATGGGCATGTGGAGTTCCTCTCCGTGGTGAACACGTTCAAACATGAAAAGCTTCTTGAACTCGGCGTCATAGCGTTCAAAGGGGTGAGAAGACCTGAACACCTGGAACTCGGAGAGCTCCAGCGAGGGCAGCTTCATCTTTGGGTTCACGCACACAATGTAGGCGCCACCTATCGTTAAGGCAAGGAACCAGAAAAGCCAAATGTACCGAAATTTGATAACAATGCACGGCAGAACCTTCTCAAAAAATATCCTGGACGCTTCTGAGACTGCAAAAACCACCTTGTGGAACATTTGGCACAACACTGTCCAGCAGCTTTTGTTGGTGAACACCCTTTGGTGGGGCTTCTTAAAGCAACTGAAGATATTGAGGAGATACCGTTCGTGTAACACAACTACGGCAGGTAGCCACGTAACCATCAGAACATAATTCACCAGTATGGCAGTGCCAGCATAGACACCGAAACACCTGATTGCTGTGATGTTGCTGACGTAGTTGGCGTAGAAGGCAGCAGCGGTGGTGAAACTGGTGACAAACATGGAGAGAGCAGCATGCTGCAGGGTGATGCTTACTGTCTCGGAAGTTCCCGCGTGGGGCTTGTCAAATTTTGTGTAGTTCCAAACATCACACAAGACGAAAGCATCATCTGCTCCAATTCCAACAAGAATAATTAACGCAGTGAGATTCATAAATGGAAAAAACTCAAAATTAAATACTACCCGATACAGAAAATAAGAAACAATCAAGGAGCTAATTATTGCAAACATAGTCATTAGCGTGATAAACATTGACTTCGTGTACACACACATAACTAACAGAACAATTACAATGGCTATGGCAGGATACACAGTATCCATCAGCAGGTAATCTTGAAACAAGCTGTGTTTGATTCCAAACTCAATCCCCGTGATGGTCGTTACGCCATCGGAAGCGTTCCAGTTCTCAAAGTTATCCAGGTAAATGCTCATCATGCTCTCTCCCTTCTCAGTGGGAGAGAAGAGCATGCTGTATTTTAAAGCTGGTAAGACGTAGTCAGCTGTCTTTGGGCTTAGGAAATCCTTGTCCACGAGATAGTGGAGGATCTGGTAAACAGCGTTGTACTTGGTACACTTGCGAGGCACGTTCGTACACTTGAGCTGGTCCTTCCTTTTGGCATTCATGTCCCAGCAGTCGGCCCCCAGGGTCCCGTTGTAGTAGTATTTGGCACACGTGCGGAGCAGCTTTAGGGTGTGAGACACGTCTCGCTCCACAATTTTTTGACACGAAGACCTGTTGTTTAAAATGGCAATGTAGTTGCCCAGGGTCCAGCTGGGGCAGCACGAGGCAGCAGTGGCTCTCTGGCAGAGATCACCAAATTGGGAATGGGATCGGATCTGTATAAAGACAGGCAGGGCAAAAATCCATTTTAAAGTGAATCTGAATCATTGTTCAAAATCAGAAGTATTCACACACCCATCCCCATTTAAATGGGATAAAAACTGAGCTTATGATCATTTGTATTAAATTTTTAAATTCCTATTTCCACGCATATTGTTCGATCTGCCTTCCATTACTCATGCCAGCCTAAATCAGCAGTAGCTCTGCTGAACTGTCATTGCGGCACCCAACTGGCTGTTCTGTGATAAGAAAGCCCTAAGTGATAAGTGATAAGAAAATTGCACTAGTCAGTTGTTTAAAGAYGCACTGAGGTTTCTTCCAGAGTGAGGATCGTTTCTCTCCTCTATTATCTCATACTGTAGTCCTGAAAATACCCAGCCAGCCATACGTTAAAAATCCTGCATTCTGCTTGAAATCACAGAGGGAAGTTTCTAGGAGAGGCAGGGATTTACCATCCAGAACGACGTGATGGCTAAAGCRGGTAGTGACTTCCATCCTCCGGGCTCTCTCCTCCCTGTCCCTCTGTGAACCTGCTCCGCTCTCACAGGGACATTCCCCCCAAATAATCCCYGCTAGAGCCCCCGGCCTGAGCCCTGCTGCACGGATGGCCCTGGCCCTTGGCAAGCTGGGCCCATGAGGTACACGGGTACATGTCTTGAGGGTCACCCCAGGAGTGAAGGAGCGGGAGAAAATCCTGCGGCGCAACCATCCTCACCAATATTTTGGYTAAGGAAGCCCTTTAGCTAAAGCAGTAGTAATCCCCCTGTGGATGCTCTTTCTTAAGAGTGGTCTAGCTTTAGCTGAAGTCAGTAAGAACAYGGACTTGGCTAAATCACCATAAGGCACTTTTAAGCAAAATTGAGTGTGTCTATAAAATATAATTGAATTTCTTTGCTAACAAGGTTAGAGCAGGGGAATTTCACTAGTACATAAACCCCACGAACTTGATACGACACAGGAAATTCAAGTCTTAAATATTTCATGTGTATGATGCTAAACAAAACTTCTGGCTTGTAATGTATGGCATTAGAATTAATCTCTCCAATATTTGGGCACGTGTAAAATTTCAGTCTATTGGGTTATATGCAATGAGGACATATTAATACAAAGTTACATTAATATTTATTTTTTCAGGATTTGGGTCTGAAAATTGTTGTCCATACATATTCCAGATGAGCTAGATTTAATATTTTGGCTTTTTTAGCAACATTGCACAGCTTTATAACTAGCAGCCATTTATAATGTAGACAAAAAAATGTACTTGGGGATTCTCCTGACAGTCATAAAAGCTTTAATATGGACTTAATTTTGTCAACCAGTTTGTGAACGAGAATAAACTGGTATACCAAAAAAACAGGATAATTCACATTTGATTGTTTCCAGATAAATACACTCCCACATGCAAACTCAGGAAAAACGGAGCAACCTCCTAAATAAAAGGAAGCACTGCAATAGCGTATCTGTATTTTTCATGGCACGTCTCCAGGTTTATCCTGGGAGGATAATAATAGGCAAGTCCTTGGGTCAGCCAGGCAAATAGTAAGGAAAGTTTTGGATGTTCTTCTCTGCATATTCAAGTTCAAGATGGACCAATGACTTTTTACACTGTTCTTCAAAACTTGCTGCAGGCTGTGGACRTTCACATTTGCCAAAAGCAAAGCAACCTGAGCAGGCAGTTGGAACTTAGAAGTTAATATACAAAATGTAGCTGGGAACAACACTAAAATACTATGCAAAATGTGAATATTCTGCCACTAGCAGAATTTTCATTTGCTTCAGGACAGCTAAAGACACGAAGCTGTACATCCTGTGCACATGCTGTATCCGTAGCCAGATCTCCTTGCCAAACGGATCTGTGCGTGACAGGGAAGCACAAACACACATTTTGGGGTCAGCAGACTGGGGAAATCATTTACAGTCTTTGAAGTTTATAAAAGAGCTGCTTGTGGTTTATAGAGAAAACACCCTGTGATTAACACGTGAAAGGCAGGACTCTTCTTATCCCATTAGAAGGGAGAACACCTCCTATAGCTATGTGTATATAGTGTTTCCATGAAGATTACACATTTACCATGTGCTCAGCAGCTGCAGGATGAAGCCCCTAAGTGTCAGTAAAACATATAGTTAAAGCAGTTACAAGCAGATGGGAAAGCAATTAACACACAGGGGATTTACTGATAGCTCATATTTAAGCAAATAACAGTTGGAGCAGAAATTCTATTCATCATTAGAAAAATATATAATGCCTAAGGCTCACACTTCCAGAAAGGGTAGGGCTTGATTTTCCTGTCTTTGAATATGGGAAGTTTTGCTACTTATTTAAACAGAAAGAAAACTGTCCCCCTAAACAGCCATGAATTCAACAATGACGAAATAACTACAGTCAGAGGAGGGTCTGTAGGACTAGGGAGGTCACTTAAGTCATGTATTTCTTTYGATAGCTACAGGGCATGTGAGCATCCTTTCGAGAGCTGGGGTGCTCGCACAAGAGCACAGCATTCATCATTCACACAGGGCAGAGCTCAGCACTTCGTGTTTTCTAAAGAGTTCATACTTAGAAATGCATTTAAATTCTAATGCAAAAGGCTTCAGCTGCTTCTGTGCTGCTCTGTTAGGGTGTCTAGTTATTATATTCTTAAGTAAAGCCTAAGACAGAAAAAGGATCAGTGGAAACGTTATCTGCAATAAATACTCTTAATAAATAACTACACAACTCTGGCTGCAGCTGCTCTAGCCAGTACTTTAGTTCCTCAAGTTCCTCTTATTTCAAACGAAGAGCTGTTTTTGTGGAGTCGAGATGGATGGTGCCTGCTCTTTAAAACAGTTTCTTGTTGAGTGATTTCATCGCTCATCGGTCTTCTGTAAAGTGGTAGTTGAAATAATGTTTTAATATAAAAGTGTACATATAGGGCAAAAAAGAGATGAATTCTCCAGGGCTAATACAATCATTACACAGATTATTCTTCAGAGGTAATAACTGATTTTAGTTTGTTAGATTTTTTCCATGTTATTTATGCTGAAATGCTTCACAATAATCTACAATATGTAAGACTTACCTGCATCAGCTGTTCATGCAATTAAATTGCTACAAATATAATGAGCATCTGCATTAATTCCCCTAATTTTTCCCCTATATATCTTCTGACTGAATCAGTCATGTGATTGCTCCCTAGCTCACTTCACTCCAAGGCAGCTGGATCAGATAAACACTAAATCCTGCCGTTTGCTCACCTGGCCCATTTTGATTGAAAGATAAAGGGTAAATGCAGGAGCCCTCTTGCTAGTGCAGGACTCTGGGGGGTAAATGAGGAACGAGCATGTGAGGACAAAAACCACTTGCAGTAAAAGAGCCCAGGCAGAACAAACTCAGTGCCAACACACTCRGAATCGTCCTGCAGCACTTTGTCACAGCTCGACATTGTAAGCAAACACATGCCAGTGGTTAGGAARAAGAGCTTGGGGATTTGCTAGATTAAGATGATTGCCCAAAAGGCATCAGTAAACAAACATTCCTCATGAAATAATCATGGCACATTCATTATGTTAATYGTTTATGATAACTTTGGCTTTGGAGGAAGAAAAACAAGTTTCTTATCAGAAAATCAATGGATCATTCTTAATACACAAAAATATTCTGTGTAATTCATTTCCATATGAGGTCATGAGGACACAAAAAAATTGTTGCATAATAAGTTCCAAAGGAAAAAAATATGATTTTTCAGTAAGGCCCAAACAAATTTTTAGACATGTGCCACGTGAATGCTTAATTTATTTTAGTCTGGATCAGTTAACCTGTATTAGTTGAAACCAGACATGATTTTCAATAGTGTGCATAAAGCTGTCTTCTAACCCAAACAAGAGAAGCTATAAAAGCCCCCGAGACTGGCTATTACACTGGTCATTTTGGCTCTGCAAGGCACTGAGCGTAAGGGAAACCATATTTACATTGTCCAAGGAAAATTACRGCTGAGCCAGGTGGACAAGGCCAAAATGTCTTACTTCATTTTCTCAGTTTCAAAGAAAAATTTAATAGCCCTCTCTGAGTATCAAAAGCCAGATCTAGTTAATTCTGCTCTTTGTTTAGCTACAGTATCTATGTTCCTTCGCCGTCCAGCTGCTACCTATTGTCTTTAGACTTCATAAATCTGAAGCTCCACTGCCYGCCAGAGAAAAGGGCACATGCTGTGAAGATGCAGCCAGTTCAACTGAAGGAGAAAAAGCAAGCAAAAATGAAATATTTTCTGGGAAACACGAACAAAAGTCCATGGAATAATACTTAAAGAGGAAACAACAGAGCACAAGTTAAGTTTCTGCAGTCATTCTGTACTAAACTTTTGAAGCAACCCTAGCCTGCCCCATTCTGGGTTCTGGATGGTATTAGCAGCAAAACCCTAAGAAATTCATGCATATAATCTGACTGCATAAATCAGAGAAAGATGTGGAAATGTGAAATGCTCTCATATGCTATCAAACTGCAACAGGCATCAAAACAGATTTTGAATATTTGTTCATATCTGCATGTTAAGTAATTGAAAGAGCATCTTTACTTACCCTCAAGTTATCTACACTGCACATTGACTTAATTGCATTCAAATTCCACAAATTCTCTCCTTCTGTTGAAGTAAATACCACTCGGGAATAGCGGTCACCTGAAATTACAGCAGGAAGGTTTGTGGTTATTCAGGGGTCTCTGGTATCAAGGGCTGAAGCAAAATCCCACCATTCAGATGACAGAGATGGAATTTCTGTSAGATCATGGGAATCCACCTCACTTACACGCTGATCTTGCTGTCTTTAAGATTTAGTACACACAAGAGTTCCAGTTTACTTAAAGTGCATATAGTAAATATGTCACCTTAAATATTAGATACTACTTAGAAGTTCTACAGACTGCTATCCTAGCAAATTATCTTCTGAAATATGACAAACAAATGAAAATCAAAAGATCTAATCAGCAAACTATGAAATTCTTGGCACAGCATAACGGCAGCACATAGATAATAGTAATCAAAGGCTGATTCAGTAAGACATTTGGGTATATAAATAATAATTATAAAGATGTTTCTACAAGAATGTTTTTGCTTCAGAACTGAAAGACTGCAGTAGAAATTGTCATGATATCCTTGAGGCCATTTTAAAAGAATTCTACAGCTTAGATACATACAGAGCTTAAATTACAAATTAAATCACATTTATTAAGAAACAGCTTTTAGGAAGAAAATTATTACTTAGTAGCAGCAAGATCATCACGCAGAAGGGAAACATATATACCCACACCCACATATCTATGSTACTGTATAGTTTGGGTTAAGAAACATTATCAGGTTAATTGCAATGTTTCAAATATGAAAGGCTGAATTTTTCCCTTTGCTGGTAATTGGCCAAATTGTTGGGAAATTGCTGCCTCTCCGAGAGCTGTGATGACAAGACTCAGGAGTCCTGCTTTAAGTCCTGCTTTAAGGTCTTTGACTGGGCTTTAGCATCAGGGAAGCTGATCTGATGACCCTGGAGCAGGCAAATAAGGACACCAGGGATGACAAATACTGGTCAAGAGGGAATAAACTGTTTTCTTTACATAACATATAGGCAAATGTTCCCAGAGAAGCACAACTCTGTCATGACAGCTATATCAGAGTATGCAGAAACGGTGGCGGAAAGAATAAGAATGAGACTTCAAAAAATCCAAAAAACAATGAGTAGGACAAGAGCAGTTGATTCTGCTTCAAGCTGTGATTGTTAATGCTCAGGAGAATTTCAGGCACGTTTGCTTATCCTTACAGGAGCCCTAATCATTCTAATTCAGTTCTGCTCATAGGAGCAGCATTGATGATCTCCTGCATGTCCTCTGACTTATACTGGATATAAGAAAAAAATCTWTTTTACACCTCTGTTTTTCCTGGTTATTGCTCTCTCATATTAAGTARTGTAAACAAACACACAATTATGTTTTCATGCTGTAATCAGTGGATTACACACTGAAGCAGCAGGTCCCATACTGTTGCAGCAGCAAAAAGCCCAAGTCTCAAAGTAAGAGCTAAACCTGCTAATGCAGGCGGTCTCACAGGAAGGACCTATCAAAGTCCTGCAGCATGKCTTGTGAGGAGTTCAGGACAGATTTAATTGTTAATATAACCTCTTTACTTGAAACTAAACCTCTCCACAGGGCTTTGGTTGTAAGTTTTTAAAAATGTTTTAAAAAAAGTTAAAAAAAAATCCGAGGACGTGACCTGTGGATGTCTTTTAGAGAAGAGCATCATAAAACATAAAGAGGAAAAGTACTTTGGTTTAGTGTTTTTTTTTTTTTTTTTTTTTTTTTTTAAGAATTACATTGATGTGTTGATGACACAGATGGAACACTGTTTTCTTAAGGTAGATTAGATACAACTTTTGTGGTCCTACATATTAGATATTAAAGACACTGCTTTTACAATGATCAGTATTAACAACAACTCATAAAAAGTTTAAAGGAAATGGAAGCACTTAAAGAAGGCAATTTAAGGAAGCAGAGTTGTTTCCTTAGACATACCAGTAGGATACAATATTTTAGCTTGATTTCTTCAAAGGTTTCTGCAGACATAGAGAAGGTACTTATTATGAATACATCTAGCAAGACATATTTTCCCTAATATTCAGGCATATAATATAAAGAAGGGTTCAGAAATCATTKCATTTGCAACAGTTTTTAGGCTTCTTTATAGCATTTCTCCACTTACTTGGAATATCGCAGAAAAAGGTGTCTTTGTGGAAGTTCCAGTCTGCTTGCCTCTTCTCTCTTTCATAGTGATCATCTGACCATCTGTCATCCTGATGACTAAAACAGAGTAAATACTTACACTTTATCTTAGCAAAGGGATTGTTAAAAAGAGCACCCAAACTATCACACCTCTTCATAACTCAGGCATTAAAAAAAATGTTTTTTTTTTTTTTTTTTGCCAGTGTGACATTAGTATTCAGGAACTGAAATATTCATTACACTTTTTGTTTTTAGAGACTTCAAAGGAAATTACATTGAGCCTAGTATTGAAAAATACTGATAATTTGAAGAGAAAACAAAAGTGACAAGACACTTTAACCAGTTCCATATGAAAGACCTCAAAGAATTTGGAGGGTAAGATTCAGTGTTCATTGAAATCAGTGGCAACGTATACATCAACTTCAAAGGGTGGTGGAGCAAGCTCCATTTAAGCAATAAAAACAATAAACAAAATAAATTTTCGATTCCAATTCTTACCTTTTAGCCTGCTCATCTGCATACTTGAAAGGATAATTTGCCAGTGTTGCTTTGTAGCCTGTGTTTTTCACCATATTATTCCATGTGACCAATCTCTGCCCTATTGCCGTCCCTCTTGGTTCAAAACCCTAGGGGAGAATATTATGAAATTCCATTAATACATTTCATTCTTTAACTTTAATAGGAAAGTGGAAATGCGATCAAGATGATAGTTTTCAATATAAAGCATAKTTATTCCAGGCATCTATGTTTAAGGTAAAATGCTTTTAAAACAGCCCAGTTTGACAAAGTAATGACCAACTGCATGGACTGACAAGGGATAAGAATTCTTATGTGTAGCATTTACATCTCTGAGAAACTATGATTACTTAATGTATGACTATTTAACACATTARTTCTTGGTTTTCAGAGCAAGGATGCTCTACACTGTTCTCTTCTRTATCTTCATTATCATTCTTCACTGATTAAATATGATTTAAAAATCCTAAATAAATCTAGTCAGCCCTAATAAAGTTTATCTTTCTAGTTGTCCAAGAATAAAACCTATATGGTAACAATTTTTAAAGAGACTTTTAATCATAATTTGAACAGCTGTAGACCGTGTCAAGAAATATCCTTTACTGTATAATGTGTATGCACAGATATACTGTACTGCAATATATCAATAACTCATGGGAATATTATATTTATATTTGAGGAAAATAACTAAATATAACTTTTTCCATAAGAGCCCTGAAAGCTACTCATGGGTAATACAGCACAGGAAAAGTAAGAAACGAGCCCWGAATTTAATGGAATCTGATAAAGATTACTTTCAGTCTTTCAATATGGATATGATTTCATCCCCAGACGGCTCTTTAATAGATCCTGGCACTCACTCTTTGAAACTTGATTTGGAACGTATGGTCGGGCCTGGGCTGTGCCTATTATCTATACCTCTAACTGGGCTGAATTTGCATTGTTCACTGTATAGAAGTTCTGTTGCAGGACATCTGAGCTCTGAGCAGCTATGTGCAGAGCACCCTTAGTGCAGCTAGTGCAGAACTGCTTCTTTGCATCGCCCTCAGCAAGCTAACTACRCTAACACATGGCACACAAATCACCAGGCCCTTAAATCACATTTCTTTCATGTATTCATCATATAATACTTACTTCTACAGGCTTGCTACTAATGGAATCTTCCTAAAAATTGATTCCCAAAAAGATTAATAGTAAGGGATTTTTTTTTTCAGATTTTGATCGTAAAGTGATAAATTGGCCAATTCAGTTCTTAGATCCCAAGCAGAGTAAGGGACACTGCAGATTTTAGACACGAGTGTCCACCAAACTGAGGCATGTCGAGAGTCAGGGTTTTTGTCCGGGCAGGCCTGCCTTTAAAAGGAATTTTAACACGTTTACTGTCCTTACTTTCCCCGTTCACCACTGACAAGGGAGCACACGGAAGACACTTCCAGGACAGTGCAGGTGTTTACCTACCAGCAGCGGGTCCGAGAAGTCGGGGAGGTCGGGCACCAAGATGCCCACGAGGGCGCACACCACGATGAGCACGGTGCACATGCCCAGCACCACGACGGGCCAGTCGGCGATGAGGGCGGCGTAGCTGCGGGAGAGCAGAAGGCGTCAGGCCCCGCGGGACGGGACAGGACGGGACGGGACGGGACGCGCGGCACGAGCCCGAGGGCCCGAGCCCAGATCCGCACCCGGCTCCGAGCCTGGCTCTCCTTCCAGGAGCTCCGCTAACAGCCACGTGTGGATGCGCTCGTGAGCACGGGGAAAGCACGTTCGTTTCTACTGCCGCTTGGGCAAGCAGATCGCAAAACAAACAAAAAATCGTTTTCAATTTTCCTCCACACGGAAAGTTTCTAATCCTAAGGGAAAGCATTCGTGGCAGAACACTGCGATTTTTTTTCAGGATTCTGACATAAATTACTGACATAAGAGTTACTATCTAAAGTTGCTGAAATAAATGTTCCTGTTGTACATGTTCAGTCATGAAAACTGCCATGCCTACCATTTATATAAAAATGCATGAAAGATAAACTACTGCCCAGGCTGAGGCTCAATGTAAATGATCACCTGCCTGATAACTTCTGACTCAGAGCAGAGCAGTGCGTCAGTGCACAAGCAATCACGCACTTTCAGAAAGCACAGCCTTACTGTTGAGCAAGTACTTCAGTATTTTCCAAAATCACAACATCAATCTCCTGATCTTTTCATGCTTAATAACAACTACAGTTGTGCAACTAGCTGGGCACATGGCTGCACTGATGTGTCRCTTCTTTTCCAAACTAGACAACTATTAAATGACAAATTTGCAATAACTATAACCCTCTTGTCTGAATGAAATCTCTTTTATGCCAGTTCATTCCCTGCTTTCAGTCCAGTTGTCAGAATGGCAATGCATGCCTTGGAGCTTTGTATCAAGAAAACATATATAGTTTTGATTTACTTCTTTCCTCCTGCTGTTTTCCACACACTTGAAAAACTATTTACATGTTTTAAGCAGAACTAAAAAAGCTTAGGAGACACAATAAGCAATTCAACCTACATTCATCTCATTCACTTAGTACCACTAAAAACAACAAGCTCATGTAATCTCCTTACAGATGATCCAGACCCAGATATTGTTATTATTATTTTAAAAGTTTCCATTTTGCCCTCCCTTTTTAAGCTGCAGAACAACTAGAAATTGTTAAATATTTGGATTCAGCACCTTTATGCAGGCACACTCAGTTTCAACCACTACCCAGTTTCCTATAGAGACAAGTTCAGACCACATAAAGTTTCAGTATAGCAAAGAGGTCACCATGAACAATGGAAATGTGATTGAATTCATATTATTGAACAAATTTATGTAGCCTGAAAGATCTATTTAGTGAACATGTCTGCTCTTTACAGAAGACCACATCCCAAAGCTGGATTATGCTTTTAACATGTTTTTATTTGRGATTCTTTATTTTTACTATTAGCAAGGCATGAACAGTTTTAAATAGTTACTCTGTTGTTTTCTATTATTCAGTCATTCTTCACAGTATGTGTAGCCCAGATCTGCTCTTTTTGATGGTGTGGGATTTCTGCTTTGCTTTTAGAAGAATAAAAGCTCTTTAAAGTGACCTATTCCAAAGTTTTTCTGTCAGGCTGGCTTATCRTTATTGATGAAACCAAGCAGTTTCTCAGAATAAACCATTAATCCAAAAAATTGCTGCAGCCAGTGCACACATATACACACAGAAAACGGAAAGCACCATAGTCAAAAATATCTGAAAACATTTGCCCAAAAGGAACAGTGAAACATGCCTTAAATTTTATAGTTCTTGCCCAGTGTACAGGAGAGGCCATTTGGGAAGGGATGGCTTAGGGATCTCGGGCAGGTTTGGTCACCTTCTGTGGTCAATTCTCTTTATGGCTCCCCAGGATTCACAGCTGATTGACTAGGGATGTTCAAAAGCACCTTCTTGCCCAGTCCTTTTCATGGCCATCTGTGAGCCTGCTGTACATCAAATGTTCTCAGCCTCTTTTGAACAACCTAGTGCCATCTCCCCCCACTGCTTCCTGAGGCAGGTCTAGAAATCCACTATCCTCTGCATAAGATACACTTAAAACAAAGCAAAGACTAACAAACTTCTTAAAATTCATTGCCTGCTATGTCCACTGAATATTCCTTCTATCTTGTATTGCATGGAGAATAACAGTTCAGCCTTTGGCTTATCCATGGCCTTTATGATTTTGTAAGGCTCACATGTGACAGTAATAGCCCTTACCTTTTTGGTAACTTGAACGGTCTGGCTGGTCTGGAAAGAACAAAAAATAGCATAGTATTGAAAATATATGAAAAATACATGCACACACTGATTTGTTTAATTCTTCTCTTTCATAGATTACCAGGAAATATAAAGAATATAAATTATTTTAAAAAGCATACAATCATATTCAATTGAGCTTCTGCAAACAAGTAATTCAGAGAATAATTATAGCTACAAAGACAGCTGGGTTTTCAAAAGTGGCATTTGAGGCAGCTGATTTTCACGACTACTCTTTGAGAAGCTYTTCAAGTTTTCAATAAGAGACCAAATAAGCTAACAAGATATCAATTCAGAACCATAGAGAACATGGCAAAGTTTGCATCTGATGGAAAACGGCAACCAAAACACCATCTTCAGCACTGCAATTCATGAACCTTCTTAACTGTCCTTGTAGTTCCATCACAGAAAAGTGATATTAGTCATAAATTTGTGTTTCCATAATTAGGAAAAATAGGATGACTGAAAGTATCCATGTGAAATACCTTTTCTATGTAGCTTTTTGTTATTTATTAAAATAAATACAAATAATATTACTTCAATAGATAAGAGAAAAGCAAAACCAAATGCAAATTCTTCATACTTGCTGCTGTTCAGTGAGCACCTCATTTTGTTAGTTATTGGAACTTGAGCTTCATATAGACTTTGCCTTAAAAAAAAGATGGGGAAAAAGAAGCCCTAGTTCCCATAAATAATCYGCAAATCCTTTAAGAATCTCCTGTCTGTGAATGTGGCATGAAGTGAGTAGTAACAGGACTGTGTCTGCCGAGAAATACTGAAACAGAGGAGTCTTTCATGCATTAATGCATCACCAAAGGACCAGGAATAGCTGCTGTGCCTAAATGCCAGAATCAGGTATAGCCCCAATGAGAAACACAAACTATGACTCCATGCTTCCACGGAAAAGGGAATAAAAATACAAACTGAGTCAGAGAGCAGCTTTTAGTAACTGCACCATACATCTTTGTGTTTACAAGTTGGAAAGAAGGAGATACAACAACTTTTATTCCTAACACAGCAATGAATTTTTAGCCTTTATTTGTAAACATCTGCATTTCTGCCTCTCGAAGACGAGTCCTCTCTCACCCGGGTCTCAGCAGGCCTGCCCACCACGACCAGTATCACCACACAGCGCTGCGGCACAACCAGCAGCCATCCAAGGACACCAGCCAGCACAGGCTGTTGCCACTCAGGTTTATACTTATTTGGAGAAAGGTTTGCATGGTTATTCAGGTTTTTTTCTGGCAGATAAAATTGCTTTGCTTAGACTTGGACTTTCAGTGAAATTTAGTACCCACGTTTTCAACATGGTTAATCTACTTTCAATCTAAGGTTGAAAAAGTGACTGACTTAACTGAGAATTAACTCCCATGGAGGCAGTATTTCCTCTGCACAGCCTAAGCAGAGCTGTTCACAGCCTCACACCAGGTCCACATCACCACACAGCCCTCAAACTAACAGGACTGCTTGGACGGMGAGATGCAGGTCGGCAAAGGCTGCAGAGTCATGGCAAGACCCGAGACACAACTGTTGGCCTAAGGACAGCCCTGTGACCAGGGGCAGACACGTCTCCATCCAGTATCTGCTTCCTCAGCTCTCCCAGCCCCTCCTGATACCTCCAGGTTGCTTCTAAATGCACGTGTGGGAGTCGCTTTCTTCAGCAAGCCTTACCCTGCATTTCATGACATCCCTGTAACTACACGACAAGAAATATTATCTTGGTAGAACTTATTTCTTGTTTTAGACAGAAACTTCCAAAAATTAACTTGGGCTGGTTTGGTGTAAAAGCAGGGACAAAGACACCTATGCAACCATTCATTGTCCCCCTTGTTTCCCATCATAACTACGTTGCCCTCTGTTTCCTCCACCTGCAAAATATATTCGGTGCWGAACAAACGATGATGATTAAGTTCTTCAAAGCAGGGAAGGTTAAGGGTCACACCTGCTATCAAACTGTTTTGCTTCGAAAAGCATGCATAAAAATCAGCAGCGTCCTCCAAAATGAATTCCAGCAGTGTAACCAATCCCTTGCAGCTGTTGTGATGACTCTATTATATCAGTCAAGAGGAAAAGCTATCCCTGAAAACCATGCCAAAAAACTCTTTAGTTATGCTCTCAAATACAGAAATGCATAGAAAAAACAGGTCTTTCCTGCTTAATTAATTCTGCTATGTCTAATTTTTGAATTATTATGCTTCCATTTAGTCAGTTTAAGTAACACCACTATCTTCAAAAAAAAAAAAAAAAAAAAAAAAAGAAGTCAAGTAACAAAAACCCTCATCAGTTTACATGAGAAAGAAATGGTGAATTCCATAAATTATGTCAGGAAAAAATAAAGTTATAGTCAGTACGTTATCCCGCCAGGAAGCCCGGAACAGGACTCGATTCGATCCGTGTATTAAATTACCTCTTTCCTCAGTAGTCAGAGGCTTGATGCTAGAAAACAACCTCCCATTTGTTTGTGATGGGACCAGCAAGGGCAGGTTATTACAGAACTACAGTCGCTGCTGAACATGATTGAAACCAAAGGGGAAACAACATGAGGGGCTGCCATTTACCACACGCTCCTGCTCCATCGATGCTCCTCTTCCTTCTGTCCTTCCTAGTGGCTTCTTAGACTCCATCAACTCCAATAATTGAAGTATGGACAAACATTATGTTTTACATAATTTCAATTCTGCTTTTCTCATGTAAGCATTCATAAGAGAGACCTCTTATTGCCTTGATACAAATAAGACCACATGCATATAACCCTAAATGTGTGTTTGTGTAGCTGCCAGAGCAAGAACTGACCTACCACAGGGGTTATCATCACCTAAATAAACAGCAATATAAACCAATTAATTAAAAAGCCAACAGCTAACTAACTTTTCTTTCTTGCCTCGCACTACAGAACTAACTTGAGTCAAAAATATTCTGTTACAGTAAAGGGCTTCACTTACTGAAAAAAATACCAATATAAAGACTCTGCTGTCACAGGATTATGAAGTGTTTAACTCCAACACTTTACTTTGCCACAGGGAAGCTATTCCTTTCTTGGCAGATCTGGTTACAAGCAGCGATAAAACATGGCTTTTTGTCACTGCTCCACTCAAGGAGAAGCTAAAGCCCTGCAGGACAGAACAAGATACGCATCACGTTGCACACCCTCCATTAGAACCTACAATAGCAGCTAAATCCCTGCAGAGGAAGAAAATCCTGGTGTTTTCAGCAAGTCATTGACCCATGAGAAAAACTTCAATTGCTTTAAATATCAAGCCAGCTTTTGCATTTATACAAGATATAAGGTCCACCTGCCCTATCGCTTCAGCGATTGGAGTGATCTTTGAGCCAACAAATCCAAGGGATTTRAGCTCCCCCAAACCCCCTTGCTAGCCTCCCGTTTTACTCTTCTGCTGGGCTGCACAGAGGTTTCCTTGACTCTGATCATGAACTCACTCTTGATGCTGTTCGAACATGCAGTGCTTATTGCCTTTGTCTGCACATCACTCTATTTACATCTACAAAGCAATTGTAAGATAACACACAGCAGAAGCACGTTGCATTCGAGACAGAGGATTCACTTTGGTGATCAGCTGCTTTTGTCTAATTTTTAATGAAAGCACAAAAAATGCAAAGAATTTCTTCTTGTTGTACACACAAATGTCAAGGGGCACTCCAGAGGGATTTCTTTCCTGTAGAWACCAGGGTGAGATGAACTGAAACGAGCTACTACTTCATCTCAAGGAAAAAGAGAGAAAATCCAGCGTTGCAGGTTTGTTTAACCTTATACCTGTTAATTACTTCCAATAAAGCACAAGGTTACTTGTAYGCATGCAATTAAGCAGAATGAAAGCCGGTGGAGTACACAGACCAAAATCAGGAAGCCAGCTGGCAGCTGTATTRCAGATCATTTGTGTATTACAGATTCATAGTTTCACAGTTGAGATTCCAAGCTGTACGAAGGCGCCTCTCTCCTTTCCTTGGGTCCTTCTACCCCTTCAGTTCCAACTGAGGATCTGTGTCCACAGCAAGTACAAACAACACTGCCTTTCTGCATGGAAAGCAGGTGTTAGTATGGTATTAATGACAATAAAATCATTGCCTGGGTGATGCTTACTGTCACTGATTTAAATTTTACCTTGCAAATAYAGGCTCTGCTGAGCTACACAACAGACACAGGTAAAAGCAGAATCCTTTGGCATTAATAGCAAGCCCTCTACATACTTAGCAAAACCTTGCTCCCTTTCTGCTATTAAATATTAAACTGTCACTTTATTGATCTACTTTGCAAAAGTGAAAGGTAGTTTTGACACATTTCAATCACAAACTTCCAACTCATGTCAGTGTACAACAGATTAGCTCAGCAGGAATAAGATGTTTCTTTACGGTCAACAGATACGCAAAAAAAATCAATATCAATGCAGATTAACATCCTGTGCTTACATATTTTCATTTGGAAGCTGTTGTGATTAATTTACTATCACTGTGCAACTTACTATATATTAAAATTAAAACATCTACAAATTCTATATGCCTTTTTTTCCCATCAGAAATCTCTCTTTAAGGAATCCAGCCTCTTCTAAAGACAGTTCTCAAAAACTACMAGTAAGAAAACTACCATCAAACATAAATAAAATGGATCAGCTCAGTTCTAAGTGATAAAGTCCGTAACCATAAAGTACATTCTTTAGGAGATTTACRTAAAGCTATTTATGTTTTCCTTTAGTTTCTGGAACACTAAAGGGGGGACTACATAGACCACTCCTTGGCAAGTTAAACAAGAGTTCAGAATTATTCAAGACAATAAAAAAGGCTTAGCAAAATACCAGCATGAATCACTGGTTGAAAACAAGCCAGCAGCTAATTTGGAGCAGACTAATATTATTTCAAGATCCGTCACAAGTCTAAAACCATTAGTCGTTTTTCTTTTCTCTGTAATTACAGTGAAATTAATAGATATGTTCTGGGATTTAAATGATGACTAGAGCAGTTTGCAGCAGTTTCACTAG